ACCTCCTTTGACCTGCTGGTCACGCTTCTTTTGATGCAGCCCAGGATACGGTTGGTTTCTGGGCTGCAAGCGCACACTGCCCGCTCATGTCAAGCTTCTCATCGATCACCACCCCCAAGTCCTTCTCCACAGGGCTGCTCTGAATCTCTTCTCCAAAGACCTCAGACCCACGTGTATCCTTCACCCTCACCTCCTCCATGGACCTCAGGTGTGCTCAGTCCTGTCTCCAGCCCCATCTCCTGCTGCTCCTGACTGAACACCTTGGACAGACCCAGAACCTCCCTGTTCTTGTCACCTTGCCTGGGGCTGTCCATGGACCCTGTTATCAGCCAACCCAGCCCAGCTCCCTCCTTGCTGAGGACGCTGCCCATGCCCAGCTGACCTGTGGGGAGCAGCCCATTTCCTGCTGCCCCCTGACAGGGTGAGATGATTCAAGCAACTCCTACTGAGTTCAACAGCGTTTCCTCACTGCGACGTCACTGCGGCCACACTTGGTTCACACAAAAGAAGTGTGAGGAAGTTAAGGGAGGGGATCCTGCCCCCCTGCTGTGCTCTGGGGAGATCCCCCCTGCAGCCCTGATCCAGCTCTGGGGAACAGCACAAGAGGGACGTGGAGCTGCTGGAGCGAGGCCAGAGGAGCCCCCGGGGCTGCTGGGAGGGCTTTAAGGTCCCTTAAACCCAAACCATTCCATGGTTCTTGTCCTGCCAGTTCTTGTGAACTTGTTCTTCCTCTACTCCTGGCTGCCTACAGTGAACTTCCAGGCTTGGGATAGAGAAATTGCCACCTAAATGACACCAGTGTCTTGCGGGACCGTAACTGGAAGCAGGGGCTGACCTCCCCACCTGCTTGGTGTGCACAGTGGCTCTGTAGTGGTACATGACTGCAGGGACAGCAAGGATGGAGGCATCTGCCAGCAGCTGGACTCCGGAGACGGAGCACACCAAGGAGCCACAGCTCCATTGCCCAGGCTTTTCCCACACAGGACCTGTAGTAAAGGTGGAGGAAAGCTTGGGAGTGGCAACACCAGCAGCCACCAAGGCCTCGGGGAGTCCTTGCCCCACCACAGACAGCTTCGGTCTGTGGGGTTGCATCGAGCTTGAACACCCCTTGTCCCATGGGAGAGGTGCAGTACAAGGTGGGATTTCCACCCAAAGCCAAACTGGAGCTGCCACCCTGGGGGGAGGAGACGTGGGGGGAAGATGGGGGAAAGATGGGAAGGAAAAAGCCAATGGAGAACGTGGCAAGTACCGAGCGGTGCCTCGCGAGGACGGGGCAGGAGCCTGCAGTGTCCCACAAGGAACGGCTCCAGCTGCGGACCCTTCATGCACCAAAACATGGTCTCAGTGGTTTGTTTGGGGGGTTTATTGTTATTTAACAGAAAAGTATCAGCAAATGAGGCTGCCAACGGTTAAAAAAGGAGAATTCACAGGGTTGGCCCAAGGGCAACGTGTCTGCAAGTCCCTGAGCCCGTTCAGAGAGAAACCCGGCACAGAAAGACCTGGAGGGGATGGAGGAAAGAAGCCTTGGACAACCTCAACTTGCATCCAAGCGAGCGGGTGACTTAAGGGACAAGAATCAGGAGGAATTCAGCCAGGAGGTTTTGGGGATCAAGGTGGAGAATGAGTCCTCAAAGAGAAGTGACTCAGAAAAGCATCGAGATGTTGATACCAGCACAGAAGAGCCCCCAAAGTTCCCATCCTGCCGTCACAGGGAGCCGACAGATCTGTCCGGAACGGAGATGTTGGTAAGAAGCTTCAGAGCAAAGTGACGAAGAGTAAATGGGTTTATGAATGAACAGGATGATGTTCTCCTCTTCAGACAGGAACCCTAAAGACGCAAGAGCTGAAGGAGGTTCTCACTGGGAACTACTGTGGTCCCAGAGGAAGGAGAGTGGCAAATACACCACCACCATTTGGAAGCATTCCCATCACGTGGAGCCACAAGAGCAGCACGTCCTTGTCCACACCCATAAAACCAGGTAGAAACTATGGTGGGACCAGAACGACGGAGTAGAGACGCTGGACCATGTAGGAAGAGGTTGTGCCGTTGCAGCAACAACGCAGTAAGTTGCAGTGGGAGATCTATTGGAGATGCTGGAGATGAAACCGCTCTCTCATAAGCACAAGAAGGCACCAAGGTAGGTGGCCGCGTGGCCTGGTTGGAAGGTGCCAAGATGCTGGTATCCACGTGCTGTCCATTGTTGTGTGCTGTGACCTGGAGGATGACACCAGCTTCCAAATCCTCCTCACACCTCCCAGGTGGTTCTGATTTTGGCCCCTGCATAAGGGCTTTGACAGAACCTTTCTGTGCCCTTTAGGAGCCAACAGGTTGATTTCTTTGACCATCCTTCCTCCCTGGTGTGGACCACCTGGATTTACTTCTTATCCTTTCTCTTCTTATGTGAGTGCCTTGTGACTCCAGCTCCATCTTCCCACCATCACCTCTTAAAGGCCTGAGATTTCATTTTGATCTGTTGTCTTTATTCTGTCATTAGTCTCCTCAGCAGCTACACACACACGTCCTGGGGTCTTCCTCAAAGGAAGGAGAAGCCCCAGAAACTCCTCTTGGAGCTGGTACTTTTCAACATTTCACAGTGGTTTGGGTTGAAGGGCCCTTAAAGCTCCTCCAGCTCCACCCCCTGCCCCGGGCAGGGACACCTTCCACTAGAGCAGGTTGCTCCAAGCCCCTGTGTCCAACCTGGCCTTGAACACTGCCAGGGATGGGGCAGCCACAGCTTCTCTGGGCATCCTGTGCCAGCGCCTCAGCACCCTCACAGGGAAGAGGTGCTGCCTCAGAGCTCATCGAACTCTTCCCTCTTCCAGCTGGAAGTTGTTTCTCCTCATCCCATCCTTACAGGCCCTTGTCCAAAGCCCCTCTCCAGGTCTCCTGGAGCCCCTTTAGGCACTGGAGCTGCTCTAAGGTGTCCCCTTCAGGAGCCTTCTCTTCTCCAGCTGCCCCAGCCCAGCTGTCTCAGCCCGGCTCCAGAGCAGAGGTGGTCATTTCTGTGATCATTTGATCCTTCTACTCTTCCAAGCATCCACCATCAGTCTCCATTCTGATTTCCTTCCCCATGTTGGTCTCTGTGGGGAGACAATGATGGGCTGGATGGATCTTCAGCCTAACCCAGCACTCCCTAACTTAGGCTTTTGTGTCTTGCCCTTGAAAGCAGCAGCACCTCCCTTTCCATGGGCCAGAAGCCTTCTTCAGGCTGCACCGCAGTCGCTCTGCACCACCCAGCTCCACAGGAGGACCCGCAGGGCTCTGCCAGCTTCAGCCTTGGCCGATGCTCCCACTGCCAACTGCGCCACTGGAAACGGGTCACAATCTGTCCCCCCAAATCCTGCCACTGCGGGAAAGGCAGGGTCGGTTCCACACGCTCCAAAGCACTTTGAAAGCTGAACCTGCCCCATCCCCCAGGACAAGCAGCTGCAGATACCTCCAGTACTTGTGCTCAGCTCCGCTCACAGCAGCTGCCCGAGGCTTGGCTGGGACGAATGGGACCCGATGGACTCCCGGGTACGCAGCTTCCAGGTGGCCTCTTGTGCTATGTATGGTTGGGTCACCATCCTTGGGGGCGTTTGATAGCTGCAGAGATGTGGTGCTTGGGGACACGGTGGCTTCACAGTTGGACTCGATCTTAAGGGTCTTTTCCAACCTAAATGATTCTGTGGTTCTGTAAATGGCTGGGACAACCCCCGTGAAGATCTGTGTCCTGTACAGAAATGCCTGTGCTGCGGTGGGTTGTCCTCTAGCTGGAAGGTGACACACAGATAGTTCCGGCCAGATACTCCAAGCCACCAAGTTGGGCTGATGGTGGCATCATCTTTGCTTCCTGACCTGTTCTGGCCAGCGCTCCCTGGCACCTCTGCGCTTCCAATCCAGAAATCCCCAAATGCTCTCCCCCTGATTCTTCCTGAATATTTACTTGAAAGTGAGTTTGAATCCACAGCCTGAATCTGTGGATCCCATATTGGGAACCACGGCGTGTCTCTGCGGTGCCTTCCACCAGCTGAGCTGCACACAGGGGGCTGCCAACGACTTTCACTCCTGAGGCTGCAGGCAGCATTCCCAGGACTCCAGCTTTCCTGTCGCAAACTCCCAACGGATCATAGGAGCTGAAGGACGAGCAGTGCAGGGAAGCAGGATATGTGCTACACGTGGTGCGTCTGGATGAGGAGCACTTCCAACAACCTGCAATGCCCTTGGCTGGTGGCAAGTCCCTTCGCTCCCGCTGTTGGCGCAACCTTCCCATGTCAGGCCACCAAAGGGCTTCTCTTGGCTCTCAGTGATGCTTTCAACTCTGCATTGATGCCGTTCCAAGACAGGCACCTCCTTCTCTTCATAGATGGCTTGGCTTCGTCTTGCTGAATTACACCAAGTGCTTCCCATTACTAGGAACCAGCCCATTCACTTCCTTCCACCAAATCCCACTGGTCACATTTCTCCCTGAGGATCCTCCTCTGAATTTGCTGTATCTTCCCCTTGTCTCCAGAGAAAACTCAGGCGAATGGACCACTCTGCGAGGCTAAAAGAGGTTCTGGAAGAGAGGTGGTGGCGTGTGATGGAACATCAAACCTGGAACCTTCCCAGCGAAGGGAGAGTTTAGGTGAACTCGGATTCATTGGTTTATTTGGAGATCATTGGACAACAGAGGCAAGACTTTGTCAAAGACAGGACAGGTGATGATGGTGGTTGGAAGAGCATCACAACAGGTGACTGCAGCACCAGACATGAGGAAAGCTGCTTGAACCTCTACTGCTTGTGACCCCGTTGTGTCCGATCCGGCTGGGATGGAGTTAATGTTCTTCAGAGCAGCCCATGGCGTTGAGAACACACCAGGAGTGTTTTGGTGCTTGGGCTATTGCTGACCTGTTCTTGCACGACATCAAGTCCTTCCCTTTTGTTCTCACTCCGTGTCCTCGCAGCAAGTAGGCCTGGGATGGACAAGAAGCTGGAAGTGGATGCTCCATACAACGTCATGCTCAGCAAATCAAAGCTTAATGAGTGGAGGAGGATGCAGGGACACTCATGGTTACAGCATCTGTCTTCCCAAGTGAGTGTTATGCACACAGAGACCCAGGACCCACTCATTAACTCCCTTATTTTGCTTTCCCCACATGCAGCTTTGAACCTGCCCAACTGTCTTTATCAACCCATTGCACCCACATCCATGCAGGGAATATTCCCACTTTCCACACAAAATGATTCCCTCCTTATGACTGCTTGTATCTGACATGCAGATTTGGCCAAACTTATACTGCTCCCCGCTTCTGGAACAAGCATGGACCAGGCTGCAAACAGGCATCTTCCTCCATGGCTGCTCAAAAGAAATCATACAGTTCCATCATACACCTTCCTTCTTCACCCACCACCATGTGTTTGGTGCGTCAACTTCTCCTACACTTGGTCTATCTCATGCTCCTCAGAGCAGGGACCTTTTTCTTCCCTTCCTGCCTAACACTGACATCCATATCAGTAAGGAACTTACGGCTGATAGAGTCCACTGAGGTCTCCAAAGATGTATCTCCAAAGCAACATCCTTCATCAAACCTCTACACATGCACCAGGCATCTGTGTGATAATAGAAACCTTGCAGATGTGTTTAAAATACAGAAAATGAAGAGTAGCAGCACAGTGTCCTGTGAACAGAAACCAGCAGTGGAGTTCTGCAGGGCCCAGAGATGTTGAATGGAACCACAAATGGACAGGAAGAACCACAATGACAAATTCTGTTGGCAAAGCAGCTATTCATGGCTCTTACAACAGAGAGAACTGCAGAAGGGCCTTGCAAGACATGGACAAGAGGGGGCAGTGAAAGGCATCCATACAACACGTGACAGAGTATGCTGGGAAAACACACTACAAAGCTCTATAAAAATCATGACAGCAAAGACACTGAGTGCACAATCAAAACCAAAGGAGCATCATAAGAAGGTAGCAAGAGACATGTTTAAATAACAACTGAACAAATTAATGCAAAAGATAAGAGATACCACCCTGGATATAGAAATATGCCTTTTTTTGCTTCAACAAGTTATTATTCAACATAATTCTGTTTTAAAAAAGTACGCCTACCTCCTCCCCTCCAAAAAACCACCCCACAGCCCAACCTCAATATTGCACAGCTGGCAAAGGCCTTATAAAGGCTTACAATAGGAAGAGTAAGGAACACGTACCGAGCAACTGTCAGCAGGGGGTTCTACTGCTGCCACCTTCACATCTGGAAGAGGGTTTGTATGAACATCTGCATTATCTGCCTGTAATTCCCCACTCACTTAAGTAGCATTTATTAAACACTGACCATTGACAGGCCTCAGGTATTTATAAAAGCTGTCATGCACATTAGGAAAACAAAAGGATTCTCTACAGTTGGGGTTTGCTGTTTACATCGAGTTTCTAAGAGACAGGCCATGGAATTCCAAAGTGGGAAAGTTTATTCGCTAGGACTAATACAGAAACCCCTCCATTCCAAATATAGAGAATGCACGAATAAAAATGCCCATCTTCTGCCTTCTTTGACACGTGTCATGTTCCAGAAGCAGGATTTGATGGTCCAAGTCTTTTATTTCTGATATTTAAGAAATCTGTACTTTTCTCAATACACGTCCTGTGTATTTTGTTCAGATCTTCCATCTACCAGAAATATTCCTTGTTTAAACATGGAATTTCTTCTTCAAGTCCCTGCAGTGAAGATGAGCACGGCCCAGCTGAGCACTGCAGTTCAGCTCTGCTGCATCTTCCTGCGCATCTCCTCCAGCGCCGCTTCCCGTTCCCTTAAGAGCTGTTTCAGACGTTTGATTTTTTCATCCCGGATTGTTTCATCCAAGTCGGGGGGAGTCAAAGGGAAAGCATCATTTCTGAAAGACCCTTCAAGAACTGAAGGGTCATCGTCAGAAGACACTAAAACTGGGATGCTCGGGTACGTAATGTCGCTGTATTGAGAGTCCGGGTCTTGCTCAGAGTCCCTCCCCAGAGATGGCAGAGCGAAGGCTGTGGAGATGCTTTGCTGTGGTAAGACTGGTGGAGGTGAAGGATTTCTGTTATGGACACCGGAACTTGGGCTCTTGTCTTCTGAACTTGGACTTGTGGTTGATTTGACTGAAGTTTTCCTTCTCTTTCCGCTGTCTGATGACGCTGAGGATTTTATCTTTCTTTTCTTAGTCAAATCCTCTTCCGGATCCACAGTTACCTGCAGAGCCAAGAAAACACAAAGATACACTTCTGTTAAACTGAGCATCATTCCACGTTACAACATCACAGTTCAGGAAGCACAAAACACAAGTTATTTGTTGCAAACTTCTTAGAATTACTATATGGAAGATGTTTCTTTAGCAATTTGAGCAAACATACTCCTGTGTTCAGTATCTTTCTAACAAAGATTCCCAGTTAACAATTCCAGAACACTGAATTCCTTCCTTACTGCACTTCTGCCTCCCCTGTGCATACCTCTCATCTCCTGCTGCTCCTTATATTCTTTAAATGAGACAACTTTCAGAACACTGTGGCTGAACAGAGCTACTTTGGACGGAGAAACTCATTTCACTGCATAAAGATTAAAGTCCTTCATTGAGGGAATCTTTCCAGAAGCACCCAAACAAGTTCTTGGCCAGTAACAAAGGACCAAGCTTATAAAGACATTTGTAACTCTGAAGATCAGGCAGGTACAACAATACCCCACACGACTACATGGACACCCTTCTTTGGAAGCCAATCACACGTTGTCATGTGAGTGACTGAAGCGCTGTAGAACAACAGCACTTGACTGATCCCAAACTCAACAGTGAAGCCTCACAAGAAATTATTCTTCTATTATTCTGCTTGTATCCACTGGATAAACATAAGGGTTTGCAGAAGGCTACGTATAAATCAGGAGAAAGAGGCATGGTTTCTGTTCCAACAAAGACTACCCCGGCCACCACTAGAGGGTCTGGTCTTCAGAGCATTTGTTCTTCAACTTTCCTCCCATAAAACCCAGAAAAGAGGATAAAGATTCTTGGGCTACTCAAGTCAGACTCAAATCACCCAACTCCTCTGTGGCACACAAAGAAGCTCGAGGAGCGATTCTGACAGGGACCAGAATTACTGACTTGCCCTGACAAATGTGGAAGCAGGAGGGTCCGAATCAACACACAGGTCTGCACTGACTACACACAGGGAGCTTTCTGGAGGTGTTGCTGTACCCAGTCTGGATTTCAAGATACCTTTTCCTCATTAACACATTCCTGATGTTGATTCGTTGTTTCCACGTCTAACGATGAGGAACTCCTAGAATCACTTTTCCTTTTCAAGCTGTTACTGGAGCAAACTCTTTCTTCTAGTTCCTCACAGGAGGTCCTTAATGGTATTCTCTTAAGGTACACTCTCTCCTCCTTAGAGAGTCCAAATCTTTTCCTTAATTCCAAGTATTGTTTCCAATGTGGCTTTTCTTGCTGTTTGATTTGAATACGCTTTCCTGGTGAATCCATCTTTCCACACTGGACCTGAAATACAGAAACAGTGAGAGACCCATCAATCTCTCAATCTCTCTCCCCACACATGTATAAGCTAAAAACTAGTTACTAGAAAGACAGCTGAACATGTTTTGTCTGCCATTCTCCAGGAGTTACACTTAACACGGGTTAATCCAAGTTTTAGGAATTATATACAGATGTACATAGGTCTAACGCTCTTGTTAGTTATTTAAAACCCCAAGTACATTGTGGAACATCCAGAAAATGCAGAGTCCAACCAGGAAACACAGAAGTATAAGAAGCAACGAGGAAATCCCCTGTTCTAAAACTTGTAAGTAACAAAGGAAGATGATGGAAGATCAGACAGTGTTTTTCCAGGGTCACATTTAGGCTGCTGAGTGCATTTCATACTTGTGTTGTGGTTGACAACACTAACCAAGCACCATTAGCCATGTCTCGTATCTAACCTCACCGTATCTAACCCGAGCTGTGCCTGAACTTCAAGGTCAACCTCACAGCAGTATGCTGGGCAATCCATGGGCTTGCAAAGTCACAGACTAAAAGCAGCAAACAATCTATGTTTTTCAGAGGTTAAAGCAACACTTGGCACCACACAGCACTAAAGGACAAGAAAAAAGTCTATTTAACCATTTTTCAGGTGAGGAAGGATGACAAAAGAGTCCCTGCAACCTGTTCCAATGATTCAACTCTGAATTTTGCACACATCTGCCCAGCTGACATTTCTCTTCTACCTGGTCAACACAAGCTTCAGACTGGTTCTTTTTGTCTGAAGTTCAAATTCATTCTGGCCTCTTGACCTCCAACCCTTCATGGGTAGAGGCTGGGGCACTTGAGGCTAAGGACTTTTTTGGTGTTATGGCTTTAAAAGACTGAAGGTGGAAAGCCATTAAGGATCACAAGAGTTTCTTCTGCCTGACATGAAACCACGAGTCGAAGAAGATGGATCCCTCCCCATCATGGCATGAAAGGAAGGCAACACAGCTCCTGCCTTTGGCTGAGCTAGTGGAGGCTGGAGCTGACTTCGGGCTACACCAGAGCTTGTCTCTGGGTGACAAACCCTGCTCAGCCACCTTGATTTCCACTTGTGCAGCTGCAAACTTCTCTACCTCACATCACACCTCCAACAAACAGTCAACGGCCATGCTTTGTGAATGTGGAACCACACAAAGCAGGTATCAGAGCGTGTCAGGTATGAAAGCAGACAGCTCCCAGAGCACAACCAACCAACCACTCTGCTAGAGTCTCAGTTGTTTCTAACAGTTTCTCTTGTGGGGAAATAAAAAGGCATCTTGTCCCTGCTCCTTTCTTTTCTTTAGGCATTTTCTCACTTGCATGGTACAATCTCATTGGGGAAAAAAAGAAACAAAGATCATTTCTTGACCAGAACCACACTTTAGATGAGCATATCCAGTGACAGGACACCTGGTTACAAAAACCTGTGAACTTTTTCATAGCCATTTCGTTCAGACAGAACCAGAACCATACAACAACTTAGCAGAGAGTGAGATGGGCACGTTTATTGGAGGGAGTTACCTTTTGACAGTCTTCACTGAAAGCACCCTCTTGCTTAGACTGAGGTAAACCAGCCCTTGGTGCTTTGGGGGAATGGATCTTCTCGTTGCCACCGTGGCACACGTTCTCATGTGCCCCATCTGCTGTAACAGGGGCCACTCCACTTGAAGTGCTCGTGTCGAAGGGCAAACTCTTTCTGTGGTTTACAGGGGAACTCTGCTGGTCGGCACTTGGTGTCGCCAGAGCTGCAGGTGCAGATGTTACATCACTTCTTAAGCCAGTTGGTGAAGACTTTTTGGAGTCTGGAGCTGGGTCTGGATCTTTCTGAGACAGCACCATTCCGCTGGCTTTGGACAACACCAGATTCACTACTTCACTGGTTATTTTGTTGACTGCAGTGGAATCAATTAGTGTGGGTGTCTCCTTTTTAACTGAAGCATCAGCAGAGGAGGATGCCTGGTTGTCACCCTGGCCTGACAGAACATCAGAGCCTCTTTTGGTCAACAAATAGACTTTCCCATTGTACATGACCAGAGCATTATCTTTAGTAGGTGGGATTTTTGTTTGGCTTCCACCAGGACCACCAGAACAGAGTGATAAAATATTCGCAGCGTTTGTTTCTACATTCTTCATGCCTGATAAAGTCTTCAAGATCTTGGAAGCCACGTTGTTGGATGACTTCACGGGAATAAGGCAAGGCGACGACGACTGTGGACCTTCTTGCACAATCCATTTCATGGGACTTTGCTGGCACTGCTGACCTTCAGATGTTACTGTTCCAGGAGAAGGACTATTTCCCTTTGGTGTAGCTGTCATCATCAGTGTTTGGGAAACTTCTGTGGCAGGTTTTGGACAAATGGCTCGTAAGCACTCGGGAAGGACCGTTTCCACTGTGTTCACTGGTGACATGTAGATAACAGTTGGTATTTTTGTACTGTCAGCTCCTCCAGACACGTTTGTTGCTGTAGCTGCAAGTATTTTTTGCTGTATTGCAGGTGGTAAGAAAGAAGCTGGGACAGATTTCACTTCTGCATCAGCTGGTATCTGGAGGTGGTGGCCAGAGGGCAAGAGTGAAGACTTCACAGTGACTGGAAGAGTTTTTGTGTTCACCACCATGTATGCTGTGTTACTCTGGTTAGATGCACTGCTGACAGCAATGTTCTGTAAGGACAGCCTGTCCACTGAAACACAACTGCTCTGGATGTTAGCACCTGGATTTGGAGTCACGCTTTCTTTATCAGAACCTGCCCTAAGACTTTCCTGCTTGTCTAATGTCCTTGCAAGAATAATCTTTCCAGGGTTAGGAGACTGAAAAACAGGTATCTTAACAGATGAAGGTGCAGTGGTACTGGCAAGCTGTGTCTTAAAAGTAAGATGGACTGGGCTAGAAATACTTGCTTTAGAATTATTTGCCATGGCTGAAGACTGAACTATTGGCACAAAACTTCCAGAAGCTTTAGAAATTGGAAGTAATTTCAGAAGGTTTTTTCCATCTGGTCCCGTCGTCTGAACTACTCGGTACATACAGCCTGCAATGCTTAACAAAACAAAGACAAGAGACAAGAGACAAGAAAAGAGAAAGATAGTGTAAGTGAACACAGCACCTTCATTCATGTGCATCAGTGCATTGTACACCCAGTGCTGCTGCGCCTCAGAAGCTGACTACTGAAAACTCCTCATCTTCAGGAACTTCACTGGCAAATCACACTGAGCTACTCGGTGTACATTTGGGGTGAGCATTTCAGAATACCACAGGCTATCTGAGAAACAGTGTGCAACCTCTACATCACACAGGAGCAAGAAGTGGCATCCTTTGCAGATAACAAGTTAAAAGACCTAAAGAACCCCCCTACATTACCCTCCTCCTCTACTTACAGGGCCTTTCATTCTGAGAAAGAAAAAAGCTCCCTCCAGACTTCACAGAGAAGCTGTATTTCTCTGCTTCCCCATCTCCCTGTCCCTGTTAATATCCCTACTTAGTGCTCCAAAGTATGAATTTCACAGAAGCTTCAGGAGAAGGCAGCAGATTAGTTGTGTGGCAAGGTGGAAGCAGAAATTACTTCAGACATACACATAGGAACAGGGAATTAAGATGCAGAATACATTTACTCTGTGGAGTAGGCTGCAGGCTGACCACATGCCCACATCTCACCTGCCTGCTCATTCTTTAGGCAGGTATAGACCACCAAGGTGGTGGTCTTCAAAGAGAGCAACAAAATGCTGTCAAGATACATGCATTTATGAGAACAGAAGGCTCTAAGTCTAGGAAGGGAAAGGCTTCAAAACTGAGGAGGAAGACATGGAAACAGCACCAGTGAAGTCTGGAGAGTAAATACAGATTTCTTGGTAGGTGAAGATAGGAACTCACAAGAGCAAACAGACCTTGTCAAACCAAAAGTTAGTTGTGACTGCTTCAACTGTCAAAGATTTTTCAAGTCCATTGCAAGACACTCTTGGGACTCTCAAAGGAACAATCTAATGCCCAAAGCCCCGCAGCAGCAACACAGGATGTCGAGACAAGCATGGTCAAAACAGACTTTCCCTCACTAGTAAAGAGGCCAAATGAACTGGAAGTACATTTCAGGGTCTTGACATCAGATCCAGGCTGAGTAAAAGGCAAAGCTGCCAGCTCCACTCTGCCCCCTTGAGTTTCTACATGAATAAATCCATTGAGAACATGGGCATGAGATTATTTCCTAGTCCCAAACCAGATGACATCAATGCTTTGTGCTGTTTCCTGTCAAGTAGTTTTGAAACACTGGCAATTTTTCTGGCAGTGAAGTGTTACAGCTTGGACTTCCAACTCAGCTTGGAATAGAGTGATCAGGAGGTACCAATCGTGTCCTGCTGACATAGCTCCTCAAGAAGTCAGTCAAGACATTGCCATTTCCCATCAAGTGAGAAGTCACAAGGATGCTCTTCACTCTCAGAGCTGGACAGTTCCTGTTACAGTCTAAGGGGTCACGTTCCCCTTGGTGGTCACCACAAATAGCCATGCTATTGTCTGTCTAAACCACAAAGGCTTTAGACATGCAGAGCTTTCCTTGCTGTAACCTTACAATTAACTCCACACCCAGTATTTTGGTACAATGCCTCCTTCCTAGGGACACTGTGTAAAAAAGCAAATGTTTGTGATTAATCAGAGCAGTGGGCAGCCTTTTGCTTCAAAAATAACCTACTGAGAACAAAAACACGGGCAATATCCCACCTGGTTCTAGCGGAAGCTGCCATCAGAGGTTTTAGTAGTGAAATGGAGCTGGATGGTTTGGAATCAGAAACGACAGTTGAGAAGGACTAACAGGAATGATCTCACAGAAAGAGCAACTAGAAATGTTTGTATGTTAGAACTTAAATAAAGCAGAAAGGACTCACTTTTGGAGCCACTTCAAACCTCCGAGCACTACTGCTAATGCAAAGTTAGGAAGACCAGCACTGAGCTCCTGGACAGCTTTTTGCATCTGTATCTATTATATGCTCTGGATCCTTCAGTTGGGCTTGATGACCTTAATGGGCTTTTCCTAGTTGATTCAATGCTTCTTTAACAACCCCATGATCTGCAACGTCAACTTCTCTTCTCTTCTACATGTAAGAATTAATGTTCTGAAGGCAAACTGAGAAGGAAATTTTCAGCAAGTTCCATAGACATGGAGCTGTTGAACCACGACAGCTTTAAGAGAGCAAACGGGCACTTACCTCAGCTCAAACTAACTAGCACTGCCAGGAGGCATCAAAGGGCAGAAGAAACCTCCAAAGAGGCACGCTCCTCCACCTGTCAAAGCAAGGGGATACCTCTAACTTTTGGGCAACAGGAAGGGAAGCAGCTCAGAGAAAAGAGGAAGCAAGAAAAAGAGAGAGATGAGGCAGAGGATGCATTTGATGAATGCTTTCTTCCGCAGCAGTGCTGGTGTCCGGAGCCCAACTCCACTCTTCTTGCTTCTACCACTGTTCATCTCCTTTATGATGGGCTAGAAAAATGGGTTTGACACTGTGCTACAAACAGGATCTTTTAAGTAGGCTGGGGAAGAGACCTCCTTCAAAAAATCCAGTTTGTCAGAGCTCCAGGTCATTCTGCTGCTCAGCATCACAAGAAGCCAACGGCACCTTTTCATCTTCACACTTCATGCAAAAAGAGCAAGAAACCCCCAAATTGCAGTTTTTTGGGCAATAACATCCTTTTCACTCGAAACAAATACTTACAGGATTGCAGAGTTACCAAAAAAAAGCTAGAAGATAGAGAAGGAAGGAAAGGAAGCGTTCAGAGGCATTGAGAAGTTGTATTCACACATAGTTCCTCTTTGGAAGAGGAAGGCAAAGTGTCATTGTCAAGGTTTTTAGGTGCTTTTTCTACTTCATGCGTCAGTTGAAGATGCTCCATGGTCTACAGCTCACCTTAGTAAAGACTCTTCCAGGAGATACACAGAAATAAGCAGGGTTGGTGTTTCAATTTACCCAAATGACAGCATTTTTCAGACGTTATTGAGTGATGAAGAGGAGAGCTGGAAGCTGCATCAGGTCCCTCTGCAGGCTACTGCTTCTGTGAAGGACATGTTTGAGGAATCCCTTAAGCAGAGTGAAAAAGATCTTTCCATCCCCTTTTAGAAGGGTCAGATAATTTAGTTTAAGAACTGGCAGGTTAAAAACAACAATCACAGGAATTCTGTCCATCAGGCCAAGTTGTACTTGAGGATTCTTCCATCGTTCTGAAGCAGTTTTCCTTCTCCTCTTCATCCTCCTTCACTTCCCTACCCCACAACCAGAAATCTCCTCAAATCTCATATATTAACACTTCAAAATCATCCCATTGCAATGATACTTCAGCATGGCCCAAGCTCTGGAGACAAGGCAGATCCCTGAGGAAAACCAGCTCACGGCAGAACAAATAAGTGGTGGGCTGGGAGAAATCCCATCTACTGGCACCCCAGAAACCATCGACTCCAGGTTTTCATCTTCCCTTCCCAAATCCATATGTAAATCTGTGCCATTCATGGGGGGAACTGTCACCTTGAGGACACTTTGCTTGACCAAAATAGGTCGTTATTTCTTTAGGCAACATTGAAAACTTCCAAGTCCACACTGGAAGAGAGACCAGAAAGAAACGGGAACATCTATTCATTTAGTTCTACCAAGGCAGCAAAACTCAAGAGAACAACCAGCGTTTCCCTCGGTCCAACAGAATTCCCGTGAAGAAAACAGGAATTCTTCTTCACTTGCACCATCAGCCACCAATCTGATTGTCTCAGGGTCTCATCCCACGTCATTTATTACTCTTCCTAAGAAGCTCAAAGCCACACCGAGTATTCCCAACTTCATCTCCTGTCCCTGGTGAGAGAAGGCAGCGAGAGGTGCTCAAAGTTCCCGCTGTCAATTCCAGGTTCAATTCCACTTCCACGTTGCCAGAAGAAACACCCCCTTTGGCAGAACCTTTCCTCCCAACCACTGCTTGAGGGACAACTTCCCTCTCCTCCCAACACGACTAAGCCAAGCAGGGACGAGGAGCCCCTGCAGCCAAGCAGCTTTACTGGTGTTATGGGTTCGGTTGAATCCCGAAAGCAGGAAAAGAACATTGACTCTAAACTGGAAGTGCAAATCTGGGGCTGAGGCCAAATTAAGTGCTTGCAGCGTGCCTTTAGCTTGTGTAGTCCGTGGGTTGGCTGCAGGCTGTGCCAAAATAGCTTTCGTTATCGCTACCTGCAGGGAATCCTGTCTGCAGTTTAGGTCCAGGCCATTCCCAACGGCTCGGGGGGTCATCGCGATCCAAACAACAACAACAAAAGAAACCTTTCCCGCTGGACGCTCCTTTTGCACGGAAACACTCCCCCCATTGGGGAATATTCCAGAATATTCCAGGATGTGCGAACTGCCGCGAAACGCTTCCAGTGCTGGGGCAGA